GGGGGTCAGCCCTGGACGTCAGGCTGGTGCCCATTGCAAGCAGCACGGCGCCGAGCAATCGGCTTGCGCCACGAGAAGACGCGGCCTGACCCAGGACGTCGATGATGGTGTCGGCCAGATGGTTTGGGCTAGCCGCCTCGTGAGACGACGCCCTTGCATCAGGCTGACTGGTATGCTCCCCCCCACCCCACGCGGCTGACGCCTGCCTCCATGCCGCGCTGCTGGTATCCATCTTGATACCCTCTGAAGTATGCAGCGGCCTCGTTGATGGCAGCCTCGTCCATTGCCGGTTCGGCGCTGCTATCCTGAAGCCAGCTGTTGCTGGCGTCCGTGGGGGCGGCGTTGAGTCCGTCGTTCCCCGAAGCACCGCCGGCCGCCGTCGACCCGCTATCGGCTGCATGGAAGGTGGCGCTCGCCGCGTTGAATGTGTCGTGGCTAGGTGGAGGTGGGAGAGGGTGATGGGTGAGAGGCGGGAGGGTGGAGCTCGCCGCACTGTGATGATGGATGTTGCGGCCGGGCGCGGGGAGGGTGGCGTCTGCCGCGCTGGATAGGAGAATGTCGCGGCCGAAGGCGGGGAGGGTTGTGCTCGCCGCGCCGAATAGGTGATTGAATGGTGGGAGGGTGGTGCTCGCTGCGCTAGATGAGCTAGCGCCTTGGTTGAAGGCGGGAAGGGTGGTGCCTGCCTCGACGAGAGCGGCGTTGTGATCGACCTCCGGCAGCATGGTGTCCACCTAGTCACCGCGGCCGTATTCGTCGTCGATCTCGCCCTCCGCGTCCTCTTCACCCGCCTCCTCCCCCGTCGCCTCTCCCACCGTCACCTCTCCCACCAGCGCATCACCCACCGTCGCCTCCCCCGTCGTCACTTCTCCCCCTGTCACTTCTCCCACACCCGCCTCTTCCACCCTTCCGGCTCCCGCATTTGCCTCGCCCGAATCACCTACTCCCCCAGAGGGTCCGCCCGCCTGGACGGCGTTCGCCTCGGCAACCCTGTGATGTTGCGCCATGTGAGCGATGAATGTCTTGGGGTGCCTGATCCTCGTCTGGCAGATATTGCAAAAGTGCTCGTCGTTGGCTCGGCTCATGGTGGGAGATGGGAGCGAATATACTCCCGAGGTTGAGTATGATGATGACGTTGGTGGTGATGATGGTGGTGACGATGTTGTCGTCGAACGGGCTATGGTGAGAGAATGTGAGGCGACGAAGTCAGAGAGAAACAAGAGCCCACTCGTCCACGCCAAGGTCGAGGCCATCTTGTCCTTTGTCGCCAAGAGTGTACCTCGAGTCGCCGGTCACGGGCGAAGCACCTTCATCCTCATGGGCGGCAACGACGGGCGGTGACGACGGAGATGCGGTACTGATGATAATCGAGACGTTAAACCCAAACAAGCGCCGTGAAATGATGCGGCCCAACGGGGTGGTGCGCCGAGAGCAGTCTTCCGAGCGGCCTCAATATTGGCTGATGCGGTCGCACACCCTTTGTCGATGGCCGCTCGGAATTGTTCCTCCGACATGAAGGCCGCGAATGCAGGTTGCTCGGGATACGATCGCTGCGACGCCGCCTGGTTGCGAGCGTACGGAGGGGGCAAAGGGGTGGAGGGAGCCCCATTGGCGCGGCGAAGAGGGGGCTGAGTGGCCTGAGAGAAGGCCGGAGTAGGAGGAGGGGGGGATGCGCGGGCGAGGAGGGCGTTGCATTCCATTAATTGGATGCCGGTTGAATGAAAAGGGGGGATGACTGGCGCTTGGCACTCTGCTGTGATTGTGGTGATGGGGCAGAGCAGAGTAGGGCGCCATGTTGAGGAGTGGCGGCAAAGGTGGGCGAGGATTAGATGGGAGGGGGCGAGGTGTGGGTACCGGGGGTAGGCGAGCCTGGTCTGTGAGAAGCGGCAGGCCAGGAAGTGAAGGAGCGGCGTGAAGGCCCGAGCCATGCTCCGTGAAGTCGAGGTCGTCTTGTTGGTCGTCACCAGGAGAGTACCTCGAGTCGCCATTCACAGGCGAAGCATCTTCATCCTCACCAGCGGTGGCGACGGGCAGGGACGCCGCGGACGAGGTCGAGGCGGCCCTGCTGGCCAAATCGGCGAACGCTCGTCGCTTGAAGGAGACGATGGATCCATGCCCGTCTGCAGGTGCTTGTGGATCGTTGTGTCTACTCCCTTCCAACCAGTCCTGTACCCTCTCGTCCTTCCTCTTCTCCATTGATGGGCGGCGGTCCACCTGACGAGGCGAAATGGCACAGCTTCCCATTTCTGACCGACGTCGTCTTTGCTGGCGGGGATGCGTTTGATGCCAGCGACTTCCCTGAAGCGTTCCCGGTCTTCCTTGCTCCACTGACTTGCGAGATGCAGCGTAATTCCACTTGGGAAGGTGAGATCCCCCCCCTCCCTTTCTTCCCCGTAGAGGAATGGCTTGCCGTCGATCGCAGCTTGGGCGTCGACCGATAGAGAGGCAAAACCGACGGGGCGACGGGCCACAATGGCCTCGAGAGAGGCTCGGAAGGCTGACTCGCGGGCTGCTGCATCTCTCGACAGCTTGGCGATCTGCTCCCAAAAGGCGAAAGTGTTGTCCTTGCCAGCTGGGTGGCTGTACCACACACGCTCGCCTGGCCTCCCATTCCTAGCCTTTCCCACGATGCAAATGCCACTGAGGAGGTGACGATGTGCCTCGCCGAGCGACGTGCAAGAGGTCGTTTCGCCCTCCCGCAACCCCAACAACCACTCGTCGTCGGCTTCGTCGTATTCGTCGGAGTGGTCGTCGCCGTCGCCCTCGTCGTCGTCCCCGTCCTCGCTGCCGCTCTCCCCGCCGCCGACTCCAAGTACGAGGTTTCGCATGTCTCGTACAAACCTCTTCGGTGGTTGAGCTCCGAGCCAGGTGCTCAGATAGCGAAAGCGCAGCTCCCACGCTCGCATCAGTGTGCCGAAGACGACGGTGAATGCCTCGCCTGCCGCATCGAGGTTGGCGCGTGCGGCCTCGACCTCTTCTGCGTCCTCCGTTGTCTGTGCCCATTGGAGCATGTAGTGGCATAGGCCTTGTCGACGACGCGCCTTCCGGTACTGATGATTGCGGACGAGAGAGGATCCACCATCATAGTCGTCTGCTGGGGCCTTGGGAGCTTCGAAACATGCTGTCGCATTCAGCCCTTTGTTGCCCTCGAACGCGGGCAGTCCGCATAGAGCACGATGGGCCAGCAAGCCAGGATATCTCTGGCACGAACCTAGGCAGAGCGAAGTGATGCCCTCGAGTATTGCGCGCTGTAGGATGGATTCGGGAGAGAGTATATCTTCGGTGTATATGAAGATGTTGAATGTAAGAGTTGTCTGGGCCGACGCTGCGTGGCCGTGGAAAAGGGCATTGCTGCCAAACGCGATGTCCATGAGGTGCTCGGCACAGCGGGCAGTGTTGTCCCCCGTGCGGCCGCCGTACCAGCCCGTGACCCTGTCTTGAGTGTCGTCGAGCGCAACTGCGAGGTACACACACCCGTTGCCATGGCCACTCCCCAAGATCTGCCCAAGGCGCTGTGCGAAGTCGGCGGGAGGCGCTCCGGGGCATGAGGCGACAGCATTGACGGCATGCGACTGCCACTGTCTCCACCACGAGGCTGTTTCCAGGCGGCTTGCGTCGATGCTTGCTTGCTCCATGAATCTGAGAGCCACTTCAGACATCTGCGCCAACAGCTTCTTGGATTGTCTCAAGGGACAGGCTACCCTGCCAGTACCACGGATTGAGATCCTCCACGGGCAGCGCCTGCGTCACGAAGTCGGTGTACGCAAGCGTGGTCCTCTCAAGGACAGGCGTCCAAGGCTGCACTCGCTCGAGCGTCGGAGGTGGGCGGGGGAAGAGGACACGGTCGGTGCTACCGTCCTCACGCCGGATGGCCAGGCCGCATGCTGTTGAGAAGGTGCCGAGTTGAGCGTCCGTCTTTATGAGCTTGTGCAGTGAATTCGAATGGACGTGTGGTGGCAGTGTGATGGGCACGGAGAGGCTCTCAATCTGGCTTCAAATGAGAAGTGAGATGGCGAAGTAAAGATGCGAGTTGACGGCGGGTCTTCTTCTCTCTTGTAGAGGAGAGCAGCAACGTCACTGAATCAGGTGCCCTCTTGTTGCCTTCGCATGGGCAAAGCAGGCAGTGCGGCCGGGTGATGGCGCTGCCGCTAGTAAAGCTGCATGCCGACGAGTGATGAGCTGCAGGTCTACATCGAGGAGGATGCTCAGCCTCTCCATGTCGGTCCCAGAAGGTCGAGTGAACCCGATAAGACTGTACAGAGAGAGAGAGAGATGGCCGTGGTCAGCACCGTAATCGCCATCACCGTAGCCCACGATACTCACGTTCGGGCCACCTCCGACTGCTGAGGCTGGAGCTTCACTGCGATGGCACGCCAGCTCAGGTTCTTGTCCCACTTCGCCTTGATGAGCTTGGCGAAGACTGAGAGCCCGTCGGCGCCGGCGGAGCTGGGCACAGGAGCTGGAGGCGGGCCGGCCGTCGTGCTGCCGGGGCGATGAGCCTTGCGCCTGTGAGCCGCTCGCTGCTTCGGTGTGTCGAAGCCTCGGTCGCTTTGGAACGAAGAGGTCAAGTCAGTGGCGAAGTAGCGCGGGAGAAGAGAAGGAACTCACCAGCCAGCGTGATCGCACGGCACAGGCCGGTATCGCTCCTGTGCCCGCAGCTCGGCGGCGGCCTCGCGGTGACGTGCCTGGATGTGGCGCCGGAGGTTTTCGTGGCTGAGAGGGGTGTGGGATAAGTCAGCCTTCAGGGTCTGCTTCATGATTGATCGATGTCGGCTCTGACTCACTTGACGAGCGGCACATCGCAGATCCCACATGTAGTGGGACGAGTGGCCACGGATCGACCCGCTCCCGTGCCCTTAGTCATATTGATTTTGTTGTAGTGCAAATGCGTAAGGGAGTATCGCGGTGACTGGCCTCGATGTGGCGCTGGAGGGTGTCGTACCTGGGAGACATGTTCGAGAAGACACGGTCTGACCCAGGACGTCGATGGTGATGTCGGCCGAATGATTGGGTTAGCCGCGTGATGAGGCGATGCCCTCGCATCATTGCGACTGTCCTCTGATCGGGAGGATGGCTGGTGTTGGCCGGAGGCGCTGGACGAGACGGCGTGACGGAGGCTTGGGTGGTCCTACCAGATAGGCCGCCGCTGCTACCGCCAAAGTCAATGCCGTCGTCGGTAGCGCCCATGATAGGCGGGGACGCCGCGGACGAGGTCGAGGCGGCCCTGTTCGCCAAATCGGCGAAAGCTCGTCGCTTGTGCGCCACGATCGATCCACGTCCGTCTGCGGGCGAATCGTTCGTGGCCACCCTCTTTGACCCTCCTTGACCCCCACGCGTTGGCGCGCGAACGCCGTGTGTCCTCATATGGCTGCCGAGCTGGTGAGGACGAGCGAAGCGACGCACACTGTGAACGAGAAGGTCATGAGCATGGTCAGCGTGCGGAAGGAATACAAGTCACATAGCGTAGCAAGCTCACCAGCTCGGGAATGTGCACGCGTGAGGTTTGTCCTTCTCCCTCTCTCGCATGCTGGACAGGGCGAAAGGGTGGTCGATCGGGGGGCGGTACGAGAGAGCACGGGTTGTTGATGCGATCAGAAGGATGAGGAGAAGGACAATGAAGATTTGAGAAGGTCGGCAGATACACAGACGTCATGCTGACGCAGACTTACGTTGCTTCGTACTCGTTTTTGTGGTGGTTCTTCAGGTGGACGAGTAGCCCCTGCTCGCTTTACGAATGAATGACGGGGTGAATTGATACAATGTCAGTGGTGTTCGCGAGTCGGAGTGCAGAATGTATTCACCTTGACATGACTGATTTGCAGTATGGGCAGGCCATCTCGCCGAGGTCTGTCATATCGGCGATGGTAATGCGGACTGAATAAGGAGGCAAGGATGAGCACGGAGACCAACACTGAGGAGAACAACACGGACGAGACGGACTGGGATCTCGACGACACCACGTGGCTTTGCCGTCGTCCGTTCGACGACTACTTCGAGCCTGACCACCCTCTCCTGCGGATACACAGACGTCATGCTGACGCAGACTTACATTGCATCGTACTCGTCCTTGTGGTGATGCTTCCTTGTGGTGATGCTTCAGGTGGACAAGGAGTGCCTGCTGGCTGGAACGAAGAAAGGAGGGCGTCGATGGTTGCGATGTCAGCGTCGACTGTACCGTGATGCTACGTTGTACTCACTCGGTCAGATCGGCCTTGCAGTATATACAGATCTCCTCGCAGACGCATAGTGTTGGAGGCGGCGAGGCCGGACGTGGGGTCGAAGGAAGTGGTGTCGTCGATAGAGTAGTGGGGTGTAGGAACCGGTACGGTTGGAAACGAGTTGTTGCCAGCGGGCTGACTGCCGAAGCCAGATGCGTCGGCGAAGGATGAGGCGAAGGAGAGGGCGAAGGATGGGGCGAAGGAGGGGGCGAAGGAGGGGGCGGCCAGGCCAGGCATGGTGTTGCCCGCGCCATCCGTGTTGCCCACGCCAGCGGTGTCGGCGAGGGC